AGGACTATCGGACAAAACCTTTTTGCTGCAGCGCTTGTCCATTTTCTTCAAAATTCTTCTCTGCCTACAAAAGTCATTTTCGGAATGTCCATAGTGAAGACTTTGAAAATAGGATTCTCCTTAATTGCCCCTACTGTACCTTCAATGCAGACAAAAAGACTTTGGAAACACACATTAAAATATTTCATGCTCCAAACGCCAGCACACCAAGTAGCAGCCTCAGCACTTTCAAAGATAAAAGCAAAAATGATGGCCTTAAACCTAAGCAGGCTGACAGTGTGGAGCAAGCTGTTTATTACTGTAAGAAGTGCACTTACCGCGATCCTCTTTATGAAGTAGTTAGGAAGCACATTTACAGGGAACATTTTCAGCATGTGGCAGCACCTTACATAGCAAAGTCAGGCGAAAAATCACTCAACGGTGCTGTCCCCTTAAGCCCAAATGCCTGGGAAGAGGGTAGTATTCACTGCAAGCGATGCCTTTTCATACCAAAGTCCTATGAAGCTTTGGTACAGCATGTCATCGAAGACCACGAACGCATAGGCTATCAGGTCACTGCCATGATTGGGCACACAAATGTGGTAGTTCCCCGATCCAAGCCTCTGATGCTAATTGCTCCCAAACCTCAAGAGAAGAAGGGCCTGGGACTCCAATCAAGAATTGGTTCCCTTGCTTCTGGAAACGTCCGGTCTTTGCCTTCACAGCAGATGGTAAATCGACTCTCAATACCAAAGCCTAACTTAAATTCTACAGGAGTCAACATGATGTCCAATGTCCACCTACAGCAGAACAATTATGGAGTCAAATCTGTAGGCCAGGGCTATGGCGTTGGTCAGTCAATGAGACTGGGTCTAGGTGGCAACGCACCAGTTTCCATCCCTCAGCAGTCTCAGTCTGTGAAGCAGTTACTTCCAAGTGGAAATGGAAGATCTTTTGGGCTTGGGGCAGAGCAAAGGTCCCAGGCACCAGCACGATACTCCCTGCAATCTGCTAATGCCTCTTCTGTCTCATCCGGCCAGTTAAAGTCTCCTTCCCTCTCCCAGTCCCAGGCATCCAGAGTATTAGGTCAGTCCAGTTCCAAACCTACTGCAGCTGCCACAGGCCCACCCCTGGCCAATACTTCCTCAACCCAAAAGTGGAAAATATGTACAATCTGTAATGAGCTTTTTCCTGAAAATGTCTATAGTGTGCACTTCGAAAAAGAACATAAAGCTGAGAAAGTCCCAGCAGTAGCCAACTACATTATGAAAATCCACAATTTTACTAGCAAATGCCTCTACTGTAATCGCTATTTGCCCACAGATACCCTGCTCAACCATATGTTAATTCATGGTCTGTCATGTCCATTCTGCCGTTCAACTTTCAATGATGTGGAAAAGATGGCAGCACACATGAGGATGGTTCACATTGATGAAGAGTTGGGACCTAAAACAGATTCTACCTTGAGTTTTGATTTGACATTGCAGCAGGGTAGTCACACTAACATTCACCTCCTTGTAACCACATACAACCTGAGGGATGCTCCAGCTGAATCTGTTGCTTATCATGCCCAAAGTAACCCTCCAATCCCTCCAAAGCCACAGCCAAAAGTTCCGGAAAAAGCAGATGCCCCTGTTAGAAGTTCACCTCAAGCTGCAGTACCCTATAAAAAAGATATTGGAAAAACCCTTTGCCCTCTTTGCTTTTCAATCCTAAAAGGACCCATATCTGATGCACTTGCACATCACTTACGAGAGAGGCACCAAGTTATTCAGACGGTTCATCCAGTGGAGAAAAAGCTTACCTACAAATGTATCCATTGCCTTGGTGTGTATACCAGCAACATGACTGCCTCAACCATCACTCTGCATCTAGTTCACTGCAGGGGTGTTGGGAAGACCCAGAATGGCCAGGATAAGACAAATGCACCCTCTCGGCTTAATCAGTCACCAGGACTGGCACCTGTGAAGCGCACTTACGAGCAAATAGAATTTCCCTTGACGAAGAAGCGAAAGTTAGATGATGATAGTGATTCACCCAGCTTCTTTGAGGAGAAGCCCGAGGAACCTGTTGTTTTAGCATTAGACCCCAAGGGTCATGAAGATGATTCCTATGAAGACAGGAAAAGCTTCCTAACAAAGTATTTCAACAAACAGCCCTATCCCACCAGGAGAGAAATTGAGAAGCTGGCGGCCAGTTTATGGTTATGGAAGAGTGACATCGCTTCCCACTTTAGTAACAAGAGGAAGAAGTGTGTCCGCGACTGTGAGAAGTACAAGCCGGGTGTGTTACTGGGCTTCAACATGAAAGAGTTAAACAAGGTTAAGCATGAGATGGATTTTGATGCTGAGTGGTTATTTGAAAACCATGATGAGAAAGATTCCAGAGTTAATGCTAGTAAAACTGCTGACAAAAAGCTCCACCTTGAGAAGGAAGATGACAATTCCTCAGACAGTTTTGAAAATTTGGAAGAAGAATCCAATGGAAGTGGTAGCCCTTTTGACCCTGTTTTTGAAGTTGAGCCTAAAATCCCTAATGATAATCCAGAGGAACATATACAGAAGGTAATTTCTGAGGATGTTCTAGAATCTGAGGGAAAGCTAGACCAAAAAGGTGTGGATGGTTCAAAATATGAAACTATTCATTTGACTGAGGGAACAACCAAACTAATGCATGATGCTTCTGACAGTGAGGTTGACCAGGATGATGTTGTGGAGTGGAAAGGTGCTGCTTCCCCGTCTGAGAGCGGCCCTGGTTCCCAGCACGGGTCAGACTTTGAGGACACTTGTGAAATGAAACCAGGAACCTGGTCCGATGAGTCTTCCCAGAGTGAGGATGCAAGGAGCAGTAAGCCAGCTGCCAAAAAAAAGGCTACCATGCAAGGTGACAGAGAGCAGTTGAAATGGAAGAATAGTTCCTATGGAAAAGTTGAAGGGTTTTGGTCCAAGGACCAGTCACAGTGGAAGAATGCATCTGAAAATGATGAGCGCTTGTCCGGTCCACAGATTGAGTGGCAGAATAGCACAATTGACAGTGAGGATGGGGAGCAGTTTGAGAACATGACTGATGGAGTAGCTGAGCCAATGCATGGCAGCTTAACTGGAGTTAAACTGAGCAGCCAACAGGCGTAAGTGACAGGTTCTTGGACATCAGGGCCAGGTTCTCTGGCATCAGTGACATGCTGCAGCCTCGAACTCTGTTCTTTGAGTATGACTGCAAAACTATATTCTAACTGGTACTGCCTTCTGAGTTGCTGGGTCATCAGGCTGTAAGGACATGTGGCCACTGCAGTCCCGATGGTTATTTCTATGATACATGACTGGCTGATTTGCTTTAGAACTTGCTGTGACAGACACAGTAATTAAATGTGAAAAACCAATAAGCTGGTGGCTCACGAATGCACACAAGGAAAAGCAGAGGTTTATTTTATCTGCCTTCTCAACATTTCTTTCCCTCTGTAAAATGTTTGGTTGAATGTCCTTAAGAAGTGTTATCCTGATTCACATGGTAGCATAGGGCCAACATACACGCTACCAATCCAATGTGTATAGTATATTGGGGAAAATTGATTTTTTTTCATGTATTCATTCTGAATAGTTAAAATGTATATTTGTACAGTCTTTTAGACCTATTCAGGTAATGCTTATGATATTGTTATTGTGTACCCATCATAGATGTTTCTTTTTTAGTGTTGCCCTTGCTGTGTAACAAACGCTGTATCTAGTTTACCTAGCAAAAGCTTGAAACTACGCTAGTATAAACTTTTGAACAGACTTAGTTTTTGCACATAACCTTGTACAATCTTGCAACAGAGGCCAGCCACGTAAGATATATATCTGGACTCTCTTGTATTATAG